GCAGCGGAAGGTCTGTTGAAGTTAGGTCCTAGTGTTGTGCCATGTTGAGCTCGTTTTGCCGCATCGCCTGGAAATGTGCAATAAGCCACCCAGGAGGCACTGTCCGTTTTGCAATCTTGCATCATTGGCTGGATTGGCCCCATATTGATGGGAGTGGCGTTGCACACGTCATACTAGGCCTCGGAAGGGTTCCCTGTGTTAAAAGGCAGCCAAAACCCTGAAAGCCTCGGAGGAGTTCGGCTTAGCGTTGAAAGCGCTGTGGCGGCCTCAAACCAACAGCGGGTTAGCTTCAGTCAAATATTGCAACCGATTTGACTGTGTGTTGCTTCCCATTTACTTACTTGCCCAAAGCCGACCTTTAGTTTTCTGGGTTTGGCCTTTTTTTAGTCATGACCCCAAAAGGTTAACCTTTTATTTCCAGGTCCTTTGGGCAAGTGAGTTTATGGTTGGTTGTACTGGGTTCAACTGTCAGCAGAGTGGAGCGATTGCAAAGCAGCACTTGCAAGATCTTGACATGTTCCAATCCGCGGATCCAAACTTCAGTTGGACTCTATGGTCTGGCACTTGCAGCAAGATAAGTCCACGCACTTAGCTTGCTGAGGAGAAAAGCCATGGCCTTGAATCCGGACGATGGACATGCCAAAGAGAACCTAGAGGTGCGGGGCTCAGTGAGGGATCGAAGTCGAAGACAATCTTGTGTCTGATCGGGCTTGTGTCATCAGAGGGGCAAGCCGCCCTGGCAAATATGGTCAAGGGTTGCATGGCTCGCATCCAATCCGGCAAGTTGTGACAGAGCACCCAGCCATCCGGCCACCCAGCGGATGAATAGCCGCTGGTCGGTAGGTGCTGCAGACCTTCGCCCAGAGCCATGGCTATGACAAGAAGAAGCTCGAGGCCTTAGGCACGGAGTCGATCCAAACGGTGTTTACCGTGGGATGCAAGTCGAGCCGCTTCCCAAGGCCCTTAAAATGCTCGAGTTCTCGGGCGAAGTGTTGCGCTCTGGCTGTGGCTTGGGGAATGGCACCCTTCCAAACTGGCATTCAGCCTGCGCAAACCAGGGAGTTCTCCGAATTGGGATGCTAAACTTGTTTCCCCCGTCGGTTTGAACTCAAGGTTATCGAAGATGTGCACTTCTTTAAGGCTCCATGCGTCTCCTTGTAGCGCAAAGCCCACTGGCTTTCTTGCGGCCAAGCATCGGTCTGCATATGGGATTACACCGCGTGGTGGTTGCAGGCATGCGTGTTATCAAGCAAACGTCAGTTGGCCAATGCCGGTTCAGCCTCTACTGTTGTACGCATACGTACGTAGAAGCACGTATACATGTATATACACATGCGCACATCCATGCAAACATTGAAGACGTTGGTTTGTTGTATAACGCCCCAATTGCAGTTTGGTTGTGGTGGGACGAATGGTGGTGAACCCTGTAGAACGATAAGGACGAAGCAACACCGAACACGTTTTGCGGAACTAGACTTGCCAATCTGCAGCTTGAGCTGCCAAAGCGTACTTTGTTTACTACACTTATACTGAAAAGTTTGATTTCCAGCTGGAGCTGCGGAAGTGTACTTCTTGCGCTCGAAAGTTGTGGTTGTCGAGGTTGATTTGCCAAACCGAAGAAAACAAAGCAAAGCGATGAGGTATGTATGCGAGCCCGAGCCTGCCCGGCCGCATCATATCCGGATTTGTGTGAGTTGTGCGTGATTAGATAGGGGGATACTTTGAATACAAGTCATACAACCTCATCTCCCCACCATTGATTTGCTAAAGAAACTGCAACACCGATGGGAGGCAACAGGACGTTGAAGGTCGGACTCTGCTCAACTTCTGAGTGCGCTCTTCGGCGCTGCTTTTGGATAGAGGCCGACGGGCTGACCTGGACCTCATCCCCAAGAATTCTCGCGCCGAGCGAGGCAGAGCAGTTTGAAGCAAGTTGCGTGTTGGTTTGCACAAGAAAGCTTGGCCTTAGGTGTTTCAGAATGACCATCATGTTGATTTGTTCTCCAGCCGGGGCATGTTTGAAGAAACCCAGTGTTCTACTGCGGATTCTGTGAGAATTACAAGCAGCATCACAAGCCAGGTGAATTGCGGGTAAATCCAGGTTCCGCGTGCCTTTTATGCACAGGATCCACACAAAGATGTCGTGGCAGACTAGTTGCGAATGCCCACTTGAGTCGCTGTTTGATCTTGGTTCAGAGAGGCGCTTGAACTAAGCCCAGCATCAGAGCGCAGACAATTCTGTTTCCAACAAATGGGCTGCTTGCCAGAGCCCATCCGCAATAACAGCTTTGGCACTTGTCAGTTTCACCAAAGGTGACCAGAGAACTAGGCACCAGAGCAGGAGAAACTAGGTCAAACCGCACTTGCGCTATTGTGTCAATGTAGGATATCTCCAACTATGCCGATCCTGCAAGTGCATAAGTGTGCCGAGTGAGAGTGGCACACCAGACCCCGCACCCACAGTTCAATGAGTAGGTGGGCTTGGCTTCCCAAGACCCTTTTTAGCATAAAGTGGGAAGCATCTACGTGATAATCGCGCATCATGAGAGCTGTTCTGCTTTTGGCTCACTAAGTAAGTGCCGGAACCAGCATACTTCTTTGTGAAGAGGTCCCACCATAGGATTCTGCCTGTGGCAGGTGCAGAGCCAGAGGAGGGGTTGAAAGGCCTGGGAAACGATCACTTGTCCCAACTGCGGTCACCTCACTCACCTTGGGGTAAAAAGACCCCAGCCAATCTAAGACGTTGTCCCGCAGTTTCTCAATTGTTTGCTTGCGGAGGACATCCAATAAGCTGGCAGCGAGAATATTTTTCGGAGTTGATTTCCACACTTGCACAGCTGCAGATGTCTCCTCTAGCTCGCTTCGGTGGCTGGCTATTTATGCGATTTGAGATTGAAGTTGACATAGGATCTTTGCATTTTGGTGCCAGAAAGTCTTTCGATTTTCCGATGTTTATTTGTGAAGCTCCGTTCGAATGCTCGGATTCAGTCCAATGCATTCTTCAACTTCTTGTTTTTTTCCTACCTGACGGCTAACGCTTGCCTCAGATCATTAAGTTGAGGGGGCTGGCCTGTTCTGAACATGGCAAGCAATTGCACTCTCCACTCAACTAATGCCAAGCTGTCGCATCAAGGAGTTCTGAGCAGACAGACCAACGAGCCTGAATCAGTTCTGTGTCTTCCCCACAGATCCCCTGAGTAGGTACTGGACCGCTTCCCTGCATGGTACCTTACAAGAGTACTTAGAGCAGCATTGTGCATTTGTTCTTCAGCCTCAGCAACATGTTATATGTCAAGATAGTGTGGACAGAACTGTTTTTGAGAAAATGCAGAAGCGTGGACAAACAGCTTGGGACAGCGCATTTGAGATGAATTGCTGGACGTCAGCAAACTGGAAGCGAAGATTTTACTGCATGCTTAGCATTGAGGCATGGAACCAGTGGTTCAATGCATGCCAACCCACACTGACTTTCCGGAGGCCCTCGCAGCATGCGGATCCTCACCACTGCAGCGCAGATCGGCACAAGAGCCAAAGAGCTGTCCTTGCCGGCATGTTGAAAGGAGAATGCGGAAGTTGAACTGACTGGCTTGGCAAAGATTGCCCTTAAGGGCATCAAAGCATGATGCAGTAAATGATGCGGTGCGCCTCAGAGAAATGACACGGGGAAAGCTCTGGTCTTCAGCTTGCGTTCAGGTTTAGATTCAGAAACACGATGCAAACGTCTCGTGGAATGTTGCGTGGATGCATGACATTGTATTTGAGCACGCTAGAGTTTGTATCGTGTGTCATGTCATGATGGGTGTGGCTCAAACTTAAGCAGCTCGGGTTACGGGGGTTTCAGTCATTGTCTCCATACACCAAGGCGCCATTTTGGGTACCATGTTTTGAGCCATGTTATGTGTCATGTGTCCTGTGACAGCATGCGTCACGTGTCATACGCGCGGGTATGAGTTTGTGGATTTAATTTGTTTGGTCCAGTCAGAAGCAGTTGCAGATGTAGCGGTGCACAGTGGTGTATGTTGCACTGTGACTGGCTGGAGACACCCTTTGCACCTGACTGATATGCTCCTGTGCCAAGATGACAATATTGAGTTTCTAACATTTGAGTCTCCGTCTCTCTCCTTTAAACTCAGTAGGAAAACTGGCGCTGCTGCTCTTTTCAGATTAAATGGTGCCCAGCGCCAAGTAGCCAGGAAGACTCAAGAAGACACTGAGGCACGGCCAACTTCGAACAATACGCCAAAGAACGTCAACCTTCAACTGCAGACGATCCACCGGCTCAGAGTAGCCTGAGACTGGATCTGACCGGCTCAAGCTGCCAGGTTTGCGCGCGGTGAGAAGAAGCTGGGCCGAGGGCGCGGAAGCCCAGTTTGGGAGCGGTTTCTTGGCGAAGCAATCAAATGGTCCTATTTGTGAGTAACATGCGACCTGTGTGGTTTGGCAACTGTCAGGCATGTGGACCGACAGCCTTCAAGTGGATTTTGTTCGAGGGCACAATGCCGTTCACGCTCCTGGGGGCTTTTGCTTTGGTCTCTTGTTCACAGTGTTACATGGGGTCCCATTTTTCGCGCACAAAAGCCATGAACATCTTAATTATAGTGGCATGATTGAGGCAGGAACGGGTGGGTGGGTGCCAAATACACATGCGCTTTTCAGCGTTGCTCGTACGATGTTTGCTCGAACGCAATCAACATGATCATAGCCCATAAGCAAGACAAAGCTCGCAAATAAAGCTTTCGAGTTGTTCTAAACGTTTGAACGTATTTTGGGGTTGGCCCGGATTCAAAATTATCCGAAACCTTGTTTATTTGTTCTTGAATCCAGTTGTACAATACCTGTTTAGCGATCCAGTGGAAAAGCTTTCAAGCGTTTTAGAAACGCTTCCAGTTTTTTGTTGCCGAGCTTCGTGCTTTCTGTAGGCTATGCTCATTTGACCCATTTTTTAGGGAGGAAAACAAATGGCAGGAGCAATTCAAATAAGACTTCAAATACAGTAATTCAACAATAATTGCTGTCACCTTTTGGAGCTCCGAGTCCTCCAACAATTCCAAGTATGAATTACTTTCCAATAGGAGTTAAATTTAGATTTAAGTATATGTTTGAATAGATTGTAATAGTTTGAAACAAATTAAGTAGAATTGCTGTTCAGTTTATCAACCATTAAATTTAATTGTCCATTGTATACAAAGCAGTTTCCCTCATTTCAACAAATACCCATACAAGAATGTCTTCACACGGCTAGCGCAGGTTCCTATCCCTCGCGCTGCACGTCAATCCCTGGGTGAGCCTTGAGCTTCCTTGGGTGGATGACGTGGTCGGGAATCCGAGCTGGGCGAAGTGAGTCAGTGATCAAACATATCCAAAGTTCCACTGGTTTTGCAAGCCCGGCAATGTTCAGATTGAGTGTTGCAGAGAGGCTTTGGTTTTCTGAGTTGGAACAGGGCATTTGAAGAGGTCGTCAACCTCCGAGCCTTAGTGGTACCCACCGGTGCCAGACAACATCCAGACCCTCAGTATTGTCCATTGATGAGCAACTTCACTTAAGTACATCGGTGTTGCCTTTCAACTGGTGTGTGTTTTCGAGCAGTATGCTAGTCCAGTCTCAGATGCCTCAGCCAATCATGCTGCACCCACAGCTGTCACGGCCAAGGTGTCAGAAGAAAGAAGCAGGATGACCTACTGGGCAGGCACAAGATTGCCGCTTGCATACGTTACTTGTAGTAAACTCGCCGAACATCCATCAGTTCCTTGTTCTCGGCTGATTGACAATTTGGAGCCCCTGTGCTTGCAGGATCTTCCAGTAGCGTGAGATCTGAAAAGAAAGGCTGACAGCCAACATGCATGCTCAGCAAAATAGCTCAAGCTGGCGCAAGAGTCCCTGCTTGGCAGGAAACGCCTTCCTGGGCTGGGACAAGACCAAGGTGGTCACTGGGTTTGCATTAGATACGCGGAACGCTTTGTTTGACTTGTATCAGCCGTCTCATTGACATGTGACCAGCTACAGTCATCGCCTTCCCAGTGAGGCTGCAAGCCACTTTGTAAGATTCTATCATTCGTTGTGGTTGTAGACATGCGCAGCAAAGCTACTGGGCTGCTACTATGCAACTGGCTGACTGTTTGATTTGATGCGTTCGCTTGTTCGCCTTCCTGAATGATGGAAGCATCTCGCTCGTGGCGCGGTTTTGCCCTGCATGCCTCATGTATTTTGTTTGCCCAGCCACTCTCACTGAGCCCACATCAAACAGGGATTCCACAGCCTGGTTGCCATGTTGCTAGCAACAAGGCATATGCACATGAACGGATGGATGAATAAGATTGACAAAGTGGTCTTTTAAAGTTTAAGCATTTGTGTACTGCAAATGTATGTGCTTTTGGACTTCTTCTGAGTAACAGCGTGGCCGTTTTGGGGTTGTGTCCCATACAATCGCATAGGCATGCAGATGATATAGATAGCCTCAGTCTTATGAAGACTGCCCGAGATCAGGCTGAAACCGCCAGTCGAATGACTGGTGGCAGGCAAGACCGCGCACTAGATGCATGGTGAGGTAGAAGACTTTCGGTCGAGTTAGGGAGAGGGCATTGTTCAATATGCGGACCCTAGTCCAGACATGGTGAGGTTCCTGCGCCATTCGACTCTGGCTATGATTGGCCTCTTGTGTCCGCCAAGGAAGACGTCATCAATGCGCACTTCAAGGATCAGAGCGAACCAGAGGCCCTGTTTTCTGCAGTCTTGGCGGCTGAGACATGGTGGCCTTTGAAGGAAAGGCACAAACATGTTGTGAGCAATAGTAGTTTTATCATTTGTTCCTTGCTTATTGCGTGGAGCTTATGGCAATGTGTCCTCAGAGGATATTTGCCGATGCCCTTCTACAGCTAGGCTGTAGGTCAGCAATGCACCCAATTGAGCCTGCAGGTTGCCTTCGCTGCCTTTTGCGCAAGAGTTATACTATGGTCTAAGGCTTAAAGGAACAGCCTCAAGTGTGGTCGATCATTTGGCTCTCAGGATTCACCCTCTCACAAAAGTGCTGTGCCAGGTGTATGAGCTTGCACTCTACGCGTGGCGGAACCTGCAGGCAGGACTCAAATTGCCACGCAGTTCTCCGACCCTGATATCTGCGGAGCAGATCCTTTGGTCACTGATTTTGTGCGGGTGCAAGCGTGTTCTGCTAAGTCACAGCTAGAACCTGTGTATTTACATATCGCACAGTTTCAATCCCCCTGGCGATGTCATGACGAAAGCCACGAGGCATAGCAGTGTGTAAACTCAGCAAACCAAAAAAGCTGCCAAGCCTCCTCAAAATAACAACTACAAGTTGGCAGTACGGACAAAAGAGGTGTCAAATGTGGTGCAAAGCCGGTTTTCAACCAACCTTTGCACCATTGAATCATGAGCAACACTGGGTTTGAAATTGCTAAGCACACGTCAACAACACCCAAGTCTTGTTTGCTGCCTCCCACTTGCAGCTCGTGAAGCACTCCTGCTGCGGCATCGACAACGTGGCAGTGTTTCTCTCGCGGGCTCGAGACTTGGCTGCGCCTGGCCGCCCGGCTCGCGTGGTTTCCCAAAGCAACACAAGGGCCGAGTTGAAGGGCTTGGGGTTTAGGGATTCTCAAGTCCCAAAAGCATAATAGAGGGCTTAGGCTTGGTGGGGGGGTTTAGGGTTTGGGGTTCTCAAATCCAACAGGAAAGGGAACGCCATTCGGAGCACGGGCCCCTCTCAGAAGAGGGCCAAGCTCGGAGCCAGCTGCAGCTCCTAATATGCTGGGTACATTTCGAGGCCCTAGTCCTAAGTGTCTACCGGAAGACCCAAGAGAGTTCATCGAAGACGCGTTTGCTTGATGCAAGATTGCTGGCTGTTTTTGACACCGAAAGAAGGTTCCAAGCTCGGTTTTGCGAAATGATTTCTAGCACGGCAGCTGTGTTGGCTACTGTACGCAAGAAGCGGAGCCTTGCAGTGGTCACGTCGCAACGGGGTCACACCGCTGCCCTTCATCCGTAGCGCTGCAGCGTTATAGCTTCACCAGTCTGACTGAACAAATTTTGGGTCCACTACATTCAAAGTCTGGCCGGGAAAGAATGGCTTGCTTTGAGACCCCGCAGAGCCCGCCCTTGCTCTGGAATGTGGTCCAGTTCATTTTGCCACCGCCGTGCTTGAAGAGATATCCACCGCTCGTTGCAGCATGCTGGGGTGTCCTCTTTTTGAAGCTCATCGGTCCGTTGGCTTTTCTCCTCTAGTGTATCTTGTCCGTCGTCCTCCTCCTCCTCCTCCTCCTCATTCTCCCGTTCGACTTTTGATGACCTGAATAGTTCTGCCAATACTTTGTGGCCTTGGTTGCGCGGCCTTCCACTGCTCCCTGTTCTTGACTTATGCTCGTGGCCCATGAAGCCAGCACAGCAAAGTGTGCAGTAGAATTGATTCTAGGGGCAGGTAGTTTGCGTTTGGCAAAGCTTGCGGCACACAGCCCGATCCAAGCACCTTGCCTCCACGGTATTCTCTGTCATATAGCTTGTCCGACAGGCCCAAGCTCCAGACGCACAGAGCTGAATGTCCAGCTTTCAAAATGTTAGGGTCGTATTGCGGATCACTTCGATAGAATCTTTACTTAGTCTATGGCCCTGATGAGCGATCTGGATGTCAATGCTCTTTGGGAGTTTCGCCACGCACAAGTGAACACATTTGTGTTTAGCAATTGGCTGGCGTTGTTGAGAGATGTTGTTCATGGTGTTGATATATAACACGCTACTCCTCGCCAAACATAGACGGAAACTCAGAATTGCGTCCCACCAGTCCGGACCAATCCCGCCAATTGCCGACTAAGGAAAGTTCGCTCATCCGCCTGGCCGGCCTGGGTTTGCAGATGAGTCTCCCCGAAGAGAGCAGCGTCAAAGCCCCACGTGCTCGGGGCATGCGAGCATTGAGTCATTGAGGCAAGTTCGAGGGAGCCTGGGTTCCCTAGAGGCTTCGCTTGCCAAATAGCTTGCCTGGAAGGCTGGCCAAACCGTGCATAGGGTAAAGCTGCAGACAAGGCCATAGTGCTCAACAGCAGATAAAGCTGGGTAACCTGACCAAGGGGCCAAGGAGAGGAGTGGGCATGGGGGGTGTAATGAGTCCCACAGTTTCTGTCATGCATGTGGGTTGAGCGGTTGAGCAGCTCTCTTCTTAATTTTGCCAGGCATGTAGTGCCCTTCTTGCACCTGACTCCAGATTACGTGCCAAAGTTGAAGCCGGAGAACAAGGACGGTGGCAGCTCGTTTGCGCGATACATCAAGTCCCAAAAGGGCGGTCAGACTACCATGCGGATAGGCTGCCGAAACACAGCGTACGTAATTGTTTGAGAGCCTTGGCCTGCTTAGTGGGCGTGTGATAGATGTTGTGGCTCCATGTGCACGCATACGGAAGGGCAACACTCGGGAAGACAATACGAGCTTACACAATGGTGGCACCACACAATGGAGCAGTGCAAACGTAAACTTATCAAAGGGAGAGGTGGCACTGTTGCCAATGAGCGCCAGGACGACAGGATCCCTGGCATTGCAGCACGTTTCACCAACATTTGCGTAAACTACTGCTTTCAAAGCAAAATGCCAATGTATGCAAATCCCTTGCTGCTGACATCCGCGATATATAGCCGAGAGGAGTTAAACCTTTTGTTTGCATTGGTTTTATATCTCCCTTCTATGATAAAGTGCAATTGTAGATGTGAGTGGAATGTAAGGAGACCTGGGCCTTACCGAGCACTAGGGAGTGAACGAATCGCCGCAAGCAATGCCAGATATTTCGCATATTTGACTAAAGGCCAATTGCTGACGAAGTGATCATGGCCCATGTGTGTGTGTGTGAAAGTGTGCTGCGCTTGCGAACAGAGTTGCACTGTTGTAGCTGCTGGCTTTTCAGAATGAGATGTGTCACAGGCCATGTACAACTCTTTCAAGCAGTGGCGGGTGCCTGAGTCATCAGGTCTCTTTCATCTCGGAAGGCCAAAATGTTGAAAGACTCCGAGGTTACCAACTCCCTTACCTGAGATTTTAAATTGGTTAGTACATCAGATCCAAGCAACTGGAATATGTATCTTTGATTAGAAGGGACGTCGACGTTTGAAACAGGGTGTCAATATCTTGTAATTACAAAGCTTCCATCCAAGGAGGACACAGCTGATGCCCCGGCATGTCATGTCCTGCCCAAGGTGGGAGAACAACGGCCGAAGGCACCTGCCTTAGGCATTGTGGCGCATGCCGTTCAGAAGTTGCGCTGACACATGCTGCCACGTTGTTCATACGCTGGCATGGGATTACACCGCATAAAACACGTGCACTGGGAGCTAAAGACCTGTATTATGTGGCAAGGAATGTGTTGGTGTATTGAATGCCTGTTCTTTGCAGGCGACGATTACTTAATAGAGGTTGCATTGTAGAGTGAAGACTGGGATCTGGGTACAATCTTGACGCAGGCAGTAGTTTGCATGCATGTTTGCTGGCAGGCGGCTCCTTAGTGAAGCCTTGCACAGAAAATACGTAGTCGTGTCCCTTCACATTGCCATTTGTCACCGTTTGTGGTGGGGATGGCAGTGCAAACAAAATCAACTCGGCACGCCCGTTTGTGGTCATGTCACTCCTATCCCCGAGAGTCACCCGTCCTAAACATATGTTAGATTTGACTGCCCGTATTGAAGAGCATGTTGCAAGGGCGCTGGAGACCGCTGAACTTGGTTTTGAGAGAGCACGGAATGCAGGTGAGTCACAATCAAACCCGGGTAATTGGAGGGTAGTAAGGAGCAATGGCTGCGGCCGCCTTTTCAATTCTTGACATGGTTCTGGGTGGATCATTTTAATGCCGGGTTTTGATCATGACTCAAGTGAATTCAGATTGGATTGCCTGCTGCCCGAGCATCAACTGCTGGCCTAGGAAGGACTTGTTCCGATTCCAGTGCCCTCCTGTGCTCCAGTAGCTCTTGGAACCAAGCACACAAGTCCTTCAGCCGTTCGTTGGAACTGTTCAGCCTCCAGCTGGAGTGTTGTGGCTCATCCCCCAGACATGTGCCACACTTTTAGCTCATGTCATGTGGCTGCCTTGTCTTGCGCACACATCCCTTGAAATTCGGACAATGAGGCAGCTATGTTTTCCACATGTTTTGCTTGTGCCTGACAAGCAATCTCTAGCTGGCTGCATGTTTAGTGAACTCTCTTCACGGGCTCTACGCATCGCTGGCTCCCCACAGATGGCAAGGCCTAGTAGAGGTGAAGAAGCAGTTCCGTTGCCGTTGAGGTCGCCTCCCCCGCCGGCGATTGGGTTTGACGGCAAGGACTCTATGCTGGCTCTGCCCGTGTGTTTGGGTTAACAGAACGAAGGGTCGATTGAAATTGGTCAGAGTTTGCAACCTCCCGAAAGAAAGCCCAACATGATGTTCTTGCGGTCGCTCATTTGGACTTGACCGCACTCATGACCTCCCAAAAGAGAGGCCAACGACTTCGCGACACATGGCAGCCTTCGTCGCCTTCGTCCACATGGTGAATCATTTGATGGGTTAGGAACGCACAAGGCATGTCGACGCACGGCAGAGACCCGTCTTTGCTATGGGATGTTGCAAGCGACCCAAGAACATTGTGTATGTGACACATGGTTTGGGTTGCTTCAGGACAGCTGGGACTGGGAATCCATGAAGGCGGGCGGGTTAGGGTGATGTAGAAACGGCGATTCAGTAGGCGGTCCTGATTCGCTTGGCTTTGAGTGGATGAGTGAGCCGACATATTGCAAGTGAGATAGGGGCCTTCACCCGATTGGTAAAGCTACCCCCGGTGAGCTTGGAGCTCGTATGAATAGCGGACTGTGTGAGGAATGCTTCCTGTTTTCAAATAAGGACACGCACGAGGGCATATTCATGTGATGCGTGACAGTGGTGTGACAAGAGATCAGAGTGTTTCATGGTTGTGAGTGTGTGTGTGTGTGAGGAAGGGAGAGAGAGAGAGAGCTAGATAGAGACGCATGGGCGAGCAAACGACTTTGCCAATCGGGCTTGAAGTGCAGCCTGCTGAAATGGCAAAAATTGCTGAACTGTCCTCCATTTGGACTGGATATATCTCTTCCTGATAGCCTGAGTTCAAGGCAAGCTCAAAACTCGTGCATGCCACTTTGAGCTCTGGGCTTGTGAAAACACGTACTAGCAGCCTCCAGTATTTGCGTTGAGCAGCTGCCTTTATTTACAGAAGCTAGCGTAATGCCGCGGGGAAACACTTGTTGGGTAACATGTGGTAACATACTGAATTCGGTGCAAAACGAAGTTGGAACACCCCAACACGAGGTAGGACCATGACATACAGGCGACATACAGGTGGTTGAGATCAACCACATGTGGCGTTGGAAAACGAGGTCAATGAGTCCAAACGGGCGCAGGCTTGGAGAACGAGGTCGGAACACCCGGATTCAACCATGTCGCAAGTCAATTTTCGGCAGCCAGTCTCCTTGGATGTTTCGGCTCGGATTTCAAGATCTTGATGCTCACACAAAACGGCATGCCCGTTTTCTGTGGCTGGGGTCACTAGTCATTCGTGAGCTCAGCTGTGCAAGATCTCAATACTTTCTCGTGCGGAACGGATTCATGGATCTCTGCTGTGTGCTCAATAAGTAGCGAGTCCACCCTGTGCAACAAGTGAGTGCCTGACAGCTCCAGGGCTTGCCCGCTTTCTGTTGTGGGGGTCATCAAGATACTTGGCCAACTGTTAGTCAACAAGGGACTACTAGCGTACCCTTGTGCCTGCATAAGTTTCTCCCACGGTGCGAACACCCTGGGACTGTGCCACAAAAGAAACACGTCTTCAAACATTGGACAGCTGTCTCCTGGTCACAACGGAGTGGGATGCCAAGCGGGCTCCTTGCAGTGGTAGCATTATTTGTATGTCCTTTGCCATGCAAGGCGGCGGTGGCACGATGTTGAACAGATTTGTGCAGGTCGTGATGCCACCTGATCGGGTTCCTGATGGTTGGGAGGTGTTCACCCAAGCCGCACACCTGGCTCGTTTTTTTTGGCCAAACAGATCTTGGGTGTGCGACCGCTTCGCTGCTTCCCAACCCGCCCTCCAATGAGCAGGCCCTGGCTGCACAAGACCCTCCAGCAACTTCATTTGTACCTTTGATCTCCTGTGAGTAGTCTTATGAAATGGCTTCCTTGTAGGCAGTACTCGGATGACTTGCAGGTATTAAGATTTTGCTTTTCCTTTGTCGTGAGAGGCCGCGAAATGCAGTGCACCATGAAGGGCTTTCTCAAACACCTGTACGCGAAAAGGTCTCCAAAAAGTGAACGACTGTGCCGCATCGTTTCAATGTGGTCATATCACCTGATGTTTTAATGTCAAGGGCTCAGACCTGGGGGATGCTATGAGGCGTTGCTATGCTCGACTCAAAACGCCTGATAGTTGCAACAGGAGGCTGACAAACATTGTGTTCATTGTGTTCAAGAAGCCAGGGAGATTCCTCCGATGCTCTGCAAGAGCTTCCCGTGAACCATCCCATCTTTTGAGCATGCCATGCAAGGCTATCTTAGCTTACAAACAAGTGTTCCAGAGGTTGCTGTTGTCGCGAATGTGAAGTCAATGTTCACATTCCATTTTGAGCCATGACTTCTCTGTTTTACTTTGGATTTGTGCAATAATTTGAACCAATCTTGGCTGTCGCCATTTGTGACTTGGTTGTTGACCTCAAGTGTGAGCTCTTGTATATGACCATTGTGGCTGCTGCGAGTCTAGCAGCTTGAGCCTTTGCCTTGCAACACCCGCGAAAGCTTTCCCTTACATCGAATGTTTCCAACTTGTCTTACCACGCGACTCACCTGGTGTACTTTTTCGTCATTTGCGACTGTCACATGTATTGAATCTTGTTCTGAGTGTGAGTGGCTCTCCTTTGACAGGCTCTGCTGTACCGGCTCAATGAGTATGAGGGCGCACGCGCATCTCTTGCAGAGGTGAGAGGGGCAAGCACTGTCCAGCTTCAAGTGAACTGTTTTGAGCGTCAGTCGGAAAGGGTGGTAGGAGTTGATAGGGAAGCTTGGCTGAATTGACGTTGTCCCAAAGTGCATGTCTTCTCTTTATCAGAATACATGATAAGTGCTCCAACGTGACTTTGGATGCCAAGACAATGACTAGAATCGGGGCCATGCCGGCAGCCGACTGCAGTGAGTGCGCAATCATCCTATCCACACTTGCGACTGAGTCTGTTGCTAAGGAGCAGCTTCATCAGAATGTCAGCTCCCATGTGTCCCATGATTGTTGTTTCCATGAATGGCTACTGAGCGTTTCCCAAAAGTAAGCGATACTGCGACACAACTTAGTAGCCCTCGAAAGCCCATACGTAGTACCCACCACCTGATAGAAAGTCAAGAGAGTGGCTTTGTGATGGCTTTTACAAACAAGGGAGAACTACGGAGAAAGCAAAAAAAGTTACCAAGTAAGTCCCTTTGAAACATGCTCCCGCTAGGAAACGGGATTGCACCGCCACCAGCTATTGCCTGTTGCCAGTTGGTCATGCGAACATGTTTGAACGTTCGAACAATTACGAGAACACTGACAACTTTAGCCTATGCCTATAGATGTCAACCTGCTCATCATGCTCTTGTGGGCAAGCTGAACAGCCCTGCAGTGCTGACATTTGAAGATATATAGTCTGCGGCTTTGTGACATGTCCCTTGAAGATGAAGGGGTTGGGGAGGGATAAGTTGAAGCCTGCCCACAACAGATTATGGGCAAGGGGGCATACAGATCCGTTTTGCCACTGTCAATTTTGCCACCAGGCACTGCGGATAAACAGCGAGATCGCGCTGGTGAATCTGGCATGTTTTTAGATGAGGTTTGCGTAAGACAGGAAGACATGTTGACGCTGCCGAGAGTCGAGTATGCTTCCCAATGTTTTACTGGCTCGGGACGGGAAACACCAGAATGTTTGGGGTGGTTGGAAAGGCTGGCTTGATTTGATCACAATTGTCGGGTCAGACTGGTCAAGCTGTTGTTGACAGTCAGCATGGTAGACTCTCAACCGGTGCAGTAAGTCAGGAACTTGATCATTCAACTTGATGAGACAAGCAAGCCTTGGCTGAAATCGTGGTCATATTTGGCAGAATCGGACACAAGTTGGAACGGAGCGCGTGAGTGGGTGCATGCACACACACTTGAAGAATCGTTGACCCCAAAGGGGAAGGATCTGGTGACGGTGTTCTTCTTTTTTTTTTTACTAGGGCTGGTTTTTCCCTAGGGCTGGTTTTCCGCAGGGCTGGCAACATCCCCAGCATCACCAGCATTACTTGGGCTTGGGGTTGTTTATTTGCTCGGAATTAATGGCAGTTGGGAGGAGACTGTTGCAGGCTCAAGCGTGGCATCGTCATTGCTGTGTTTTCGGCCGAGTGTCCAGCAAACAACATGTGATGACGAAAGTGCGCCACCCGCACCACTTACCACCACTCACCAGCATCTACCGCCACCCACCGCCCACCACCCTGCAGTGTGAGGGAGTCCTAATGAGATCCCAGAATCTCGACGTCTGCTCCAGGCGAGCGATGAGCTGATGCCTGGCTTCGCCAGCTTCCCCGCTCGGCCAGGAGGCAGCTGAGTTTCTGAATTCTGAAGCCCGCAGGAGGCTCCAGGTAGAGTTATCCCACATCATGGAACTTTTCGGACGGGGGGGAAGTTGAGACATGACTCCAGTTTGAGGATAGCTAAATTTGTTCATGATGAGACTCAGGCGGAACCTGCTGCTCAGCTTGGAGTGATGTGTGTCACCATTTGTCCTTGATGAGTCATGGAGCAGTGCACTTGTGTATTGCCCTGGCAAAGACTTTCCTGAATAGATTAAGTATGATTGACCAACGTCCAATCGGGAGGGTTCATGGTGGAAGTGACCCAGATACCAGCTGTAGTAGCACAATTTAGGGAAAGGATTTGTCCTCTTGGTTTTTGACGTCAAGATACCGCAGCTTTCTCCGACTCATCGTGACTTGCCTAAGGATGAGCTAGTCAATCACAGGCTTTACACGATTCACAGTTAAACACGGGTAGCCGCTTTGGAGCTTCAACGACGGGAGATTTAGACGGCGCGGCTCCTGTTCTCGTGCCTGTTTGCCGGGCCTTGCAACGAGCACATGCATCCAAAACCGGCAGAACGTTCTATCAGACTGTATTATCAGATCGACCGCTGTTTCCCAAACTGGGATATCCACATGTGAGCCACCCGAAACAATGGCTTGCAACAAACCAACGCATGGCAGAATAGCAACACTGGATCGAAAAAAGACATAGGGGACCTGTAGGGCCAATGTTATAGAGCCTTGCAATCCCACCGCTCGTGTGTCAAGCTTCTATTTTCAAGCATCCATGTTGACATGGCTGGTCTTCCAGCTTTGAAATGATAGTATGCTAGTGGCCATCAAGTATTGAGCAGAATCTCGTCCCTTTCAAATGTGCCTTCTTTCCGCTTCCGGCCAGTGATGCCGCCAGCCGCTAGAGGGAAATACCTGGTGTGTCGCGAGCTCGGAGGACCAGGGGAGAATTTGGCACTGTTCTGTGCTTTCGCAAAGGGGATGATCCAAAGCGCCATTGCAAGGCTGTGGCCCTTGCTTTGTGCCATTGAAGGGCTGGCAAGTGATGAGGCGAAGCAACGAAAAGGTCCCGTGCCTTATGTTCCCTAAGCTGACTGGCAAAGGATCAACCTCACCCCTCACCTGGGGTTGCAGCTGTACCCCATGTTTGTTAGGATTCTCATGGGAATATTTGCAGATGCACAATGACTTTGAGTAGTGTTGCTTGACAGAATCGATGTATCCTGCATCGACATTTTTACAATCAGAGAGGGTGATATGTTTGCCTGAAAGCCGATGTATTGAAATTGAAGTCTGATAATGCCACCGGCTCAAGCACAAGACCACCGTGAAGAGCATGAATGTAGGGAGTTCGTATCCTCACAGGTAATTTCCTCGGAATAGCCGCACCTCCACCTGCGACGACCGCGGATACCGACAGGTGTTGGAAGAGCAACGTGTCCTTGACATCGCTATTTGTCCACTTGCAGTTGATTCTCAGGTGAGACGTGGGTTCCTTTTGCGTGTTTCCCCCCAGGCTACAACCCGCAGGTGGGCTTGGGCAATATTGCCCCGTCCTCAGGGCCGGGAGGCTGGCGTAGGCGAGGTATGCTTCTGCTGACCTGGTCACTGTGGGTCTGTAGGCATGCTGGCAATCCCCTTCTACGCGGGCTTCAATACGCATTGCCATTCTAGTGGCGTACATGAGACTCTAGCCTTGGAGAAACCAGGTTGAAGGCGAACTTTTAGCTGAGCTCAACAGGGAGTGGAATATTGTTTGACACGCGTTTATCTCTCGAGCTTTCACCCGAGACGTATGGTGAGTCAAGCACGAATGCAACCATGAGAGACCGGGCTCCTGACTTTGGAGTGTGCCTGGAGAAGAGACTTGTATATTACAGAGGAAGCTGATTGACGCCGCCAAAGGCCATACCAATCAACCAATCAATCTCAGCTGTTCTTTGTAAGTTGCGGCCGGCGTACCTGTGTTGTGCAGTCGGCAGACCAAGAGTTTCCATGCGTGCTTAATACAAGGCTGATTGAAACACGTCGAATTCGCGTATTCGGCGCATTCCCACTTATGTGTAAGGCACCCACCGGGGGACGACAGAGTCGTACCCATGGGAGCCACTAGGATGGTGGCAAGTAAAGGCAAAGGACTGACAGTCACGCGGGAGTGGGACTCAAAGCTGAATGCCAAGCAACACCAGGCCCCGCTTGAAAGGGCATGGCTCAGTGTAACTTTGCTCCAGCAAGGCTCCGAGAGGCCGAGACTGTCCTACTGTTGCTCTCAAGAGTAGCTCTTGCTGTTTGAAGGTGAGATCTGGCAATGAATATGCACTGTTCCTGAAGAATGAATGAGCAAGATAGATGATTTGCCGGCAACCTGCTTCCATTAGCTGCAACAGCGAATACACAGCACTGCCAATGTTAAACGATTCCTGAAGTGGATACAGTTTGCTGAAGTCAGGAACAGCCGGATGAATGTCAAGATGAACGTGTTGCGCCGCTTAATGCGGGAAGCAACGAAGCAACAAGGTACTTGCTTTAACCATTTACTGAGGCAGTAGTCATGGTCTCTGCTCTGAACCTCGCCCGCATCACCGGACGGACACTGGTGAGCCGCGACCCTGGGGTGGAGGCTGGAAGGAAAGGCCAGCAGTTGACCAAGCTTTGGCCCAAAACTTCAAGATGGCTGAGGTTTGCTGAAGTGCTTTCGATGGTCTGCTACACATGTGGATCAGTCGCTGTACTTGGGGCCACCCCGAAACAATACACAGCCTTCGATCTGTCAGCCCGCTGCAAGTGCAGCTGAGCCTTCAATTGGAAGGGGGCGGCCCTCAAAAGCCCAAAGGAAGTGCGCCAAATGCAGAGTAAGCTGCTAATCCTTTGACCCAAACCCATCCGAGCCGTGCCCAGTCCATTGGAACACCAACATGGTCTCCCGTCATGCCTGGGAGCTGCTGGATTTGCCAGGCCGGAAGGCTTCTCACATTTGTTTGTGTGGCCTTTGGTTTGTTGGGCCTTCGTGCCGAGAAAGTGGGTTCCGAACCAATTGGAGACCCCATACGTGGAGAAAGCAGCGATGGAGTTGCGACGGAATTGGCAGCTCAGTGAGGAGGATCAAGCGGACGTTAAGCGGTGTGGGGTCGGTAAGGTCGGTGGAGGCTGGGTTTAGAGTTGTTTAGGGTTGAATTGGGGTTGGTCTGGGGTGGAGGTAGAAGATGGATTGGGGTTAGGGTTGGGAAAGGAAGTTAAGCGGCGTGGTATAAGCCCAAGTGACCAAATTCATGCTGTTTGTTCCCTCAATCATCCGCAGCATGCATGCTCACACCACACACACACACACACATGCATGCGTAAGTGGCTTAAGCGTCCGCACTTTATTTGTGCGCCTTTGCTGTCGTTTGGGCTGCAGGGAAGAATGCCAAGGCACGCCGTCGATCTATGGCATGGTCTTTCTGGGTTGCTGGTTGCATGTCGAAAAGGTTGACGGACTTTCCAGGAGTCGCCATTGAACCCAACACCGCATGCATGGCTTCTCAGGTTTGCTCGGCCATTGGACAGTCACCTGTTGGGATGAATTCTTCTCATGGGTTACTGCTATGTGCGGAACATAGGTGCCCTGACCTGTCGTCATTGGTGCCCATGATGCGCCATTGTTTCAGAGCCGCCGGCCAGGGGTGAAGCTGATTGGCGAGGCTGTGCCAGAGATGCGCGTCCAAGATGCGGCCGGCTGCCCAGAGAACAGCCCCAGATCTTTAAGCAATGGCGTATGTAACCACCATGATAGCACGCCAAGGAGCCCGCTAGGGAGTATAGCCGTTGCTTGATGTGTTTGCCCTGCTTGACAGTCGCATTGTATTGAAAGGTGGAAGGGTTTGACGGGTTGCTGGATATGGGAGTCAGTGGCTTGGTAGATCGGTCAGTGTTGGTTCTTGAGTTGGGTTAAGCGGTGATGGAATGGGTTGAGATGTGATGGGTTCGGCATGGTTGTCCAGGGTTTGATTGAGTCAAGTTGAGTTGGTTGGTTGCCAGTAGGCGCTAATCAGGATCAAGTCATTCGTGATTTGTGCTGCTGCTTGCAGTTTCCTGTTCTTGCGTGGCCTTCTTCTTGTTGTGTGCCATATCGACGGAGTCATTCAGACCAAGGTCAAAAGCATCTACCTCTTCCACATGATGGACAGTGGGATGCTGGTAGCTGGCTTAGATCCCCTTCACAGGTGTTCAACGTACATCCATGCGGCACCAAACAAGGAGTCCCAGCATTTCTTGGACCACTTGTCTAGTTTGTCACAGCAAGCTTTGCCCCATGTTCTTGGTTGCTGATTCGGGTTCCCGCCTGGCAAAACGAGCTGGGAGCATGCGTCCAGGCCGATGTGGCGGCCGAAACCAGCTGGGAGCAGCAACTGATTTAGATGAAGTTCGGCCATAGTGTCCAACAA